TACAATTATGTGTAAAAACTCGAAGCAATTTGTTTTATGAAAATTGTGATTATAATTTACGTATAATTTCAATCATTTGATCATGAAATATGGTTGAATTATTATACAAGCTGAATAATATAATAATATAGTAAAATAATTAAATAAAAAATAATAATAAAATGTGATATTTTTCTTTTATATTAACAATGTGCAAAAAATTTTAAAAATTTTTATTATTAAAAGTGTAAAGAACAAATGATAATGAAAGAATAGAACAATTAATCATCGTGTAAAAATAACACATTTTTTAATGTAAATTCCGTTATATTTTCCTCAATCTGTCAAATTTAAAACGCAAAATTCAATGTGAAACTCCACAACGAGAAAAAAATCATTTTTTTGTGCGATGAAAGATTATCTTAAATGCATGAAATTATAAATAAATCGGTTAATAATAAGAAAGAAATATGATTGTGCTTTCGACAAATATAATAAACTATTAATTATTTCTAATTTTACATAGTAATATTTCGTGATATATTCGTTCAAAAATATTCAAAAACAACGATTTAAAAAATAAAAATAAAAGCTAGTAAATAGATAATTTTCTTTTTTTTTTTTGAAAAATATTTGTTCAAAATTATAAAAAACAAACATGTCATCATTTTGATAAAAATATAAAATTAGGAAAAGATTTTATCGATATTTATAAGAAATGAACTGCGAATAATCTAGAACTATGATAGTCTGATGAGACAAACGTGATTTAAAATTTAAATCGAATGGAAAATTCTGGGGATAGAAAATTCTCTACTAGATCTTATTAATAGAAGTGGATCATAAAAAAAATTTGAGAACTGGATCTTTAAATATCGATACAATTTCATTAAGTAATTTTTAAACGAAATTTCATCATATCTATATTTGAAGAAAGGAAGAATTTTTAGATCCACGTTTGGCCACCTATATCTTTATACACATACGTCTATTTTTCATGGAAGAAAAATCCGTTCCATTTCTCATCGACTTCGTTCAATAGGTATTAAATTGTAAAGCTAGTTGCCATTTCTTCGCGAAAGAAGTTAATCGTTAACATTCACTCTATCGTAGCAAGAAAGAAGGATAAAAAAGTTCACTTTGATCCGCACAATAGAACAATAGAAATTCGCAACATCTGTTCAGGGTTAATCCTCCCGTGTGAAACAAACGATAGCAAAGCGCTCCCAAACGAAAGCGAACCCAAGAAAAACGTCATTGCACCCTCTCTTTGATCCCACAAAGAGATGCAAATATCACCGAGGGATCCACGGTGGTGGAGTACAACATCAGATCCGGACACGATCGGACGAGTAATTTCCGCTTGTGACGTATAAACGGGAGACCTATACATTTCGTACATTTCGATTTTCCACGATTCAAAAGGATATCGCAACAGATCGTATCCCCCTCCCCATCTACAGTTTACGAAAGAGAAGGAGGGGGGGGGGGAGGAGGAGAGAGAGAGAGAGAGAGTAGAA